CGGTGTATAATTTACCTTTTCATCATTAATTTGAAATAGTTTAGTGGTTATTACAGGGATAAGGATGGACGAGTAGTATGTAGAGCTAATTATAGTAAACAATATATGTGCAAAGATTGTGCACTTTTTGATAAAAGCATGGGAATTGGGCTGAAATAGGTTTTCAGGCTGTATATTGGATTGTGATATGGAGCCAGCTTCCTAAGTTTTCTTAGGGGGGGTTTCAGGGCTGTTGTCACTTGGTAAACCGAAAGTGACAAGAAGCTGACCGGAAGTATCTGAATCCAATGTATTTTGTCAGAAAATGAAGAAAAAACAAAATGTTATTAGCAAATTTGTCTATTTACGTAGTGGTATGTTTTTTTCTTTTTTATTCAAAGCATTTGGCCCATACCGGAAGTGATTTGGCTTAGGCTATACCCGACACCAGGGGAAAACGTTTGCGCATGCGTGCACTTCAGCACGTTTTCTAAGAATTTTGAAGAGTTTGAGTGAGAAAATAAATGTTTGTTTTCTCCAAGTATACAAAAAAGTTCGAGAATATACTTTTGTCAGACCAAGATACTTTATTAACAAACACAATATGAAAGAATTAGTCTTAAGTTTCAAGCATGGACACTAAGTTTTGACATTTTGTGAAGTCCAATTTATCGGACATGTTTGAAAGTCAAATTTACGGACTCAGAGAATTCGCAGAAGTTTTTCGCTCGCGTCGCTATACCCATAATAATTTGGGGGATAACCAGAGGAAAAAACCGCACTTATTTTGCTAAAGGCTGATCTGACAATGTTGAAAATATCTCGTTTGATATCCAAATATAAAATGAAGTAACACAGAAACAGATGGAAGCTCGAACAAGTTTAGCAAATTTTAAATACTTTTTCGTAAGTCAATACATTATTGAAAAACATATCCTCTTAATGCCATTAATGCCGGTCACTTGGACTAACATTCACCGTGGCAACCAGGACACACCCTTTTAACTTTATTTTACTGCACATTCATTGTTTTAACAGGTGAATAAATTAGTAAAAGGAAGCGTCATCGCGAACTTTGACCTCTACATGAATGAGAACGCGTCAGTCGTTCCCGCCAAAACTTTACAAATAGCAGTAAAGCATGGATCTATTGGTGGGCTTGCTGTGGACGCAGAGTATTTGAGTATCAAGCAGGTTACGTGTGATCGAGCTCTTGGGATGGAGAACGGGCGAATCAAAGATGAACAGATCAGTGGTAGGTTGAATGGCAAGTGATATGGACTTTTTTGGTTATTTAAGGTCGGTTTGTTAGTCGGTCATTTTGTGGAACGTTCTACCACGCATCCATCCATCCATGGATCCCTACATCCATCCATTCATCCATCCATCCATCCGTCCGTCCGTCCGTCCGTCCGTCCGTCCGTCCGTCCGTCCACCCACCCATCTATCCCTCCCTCAATCCTTCCCTCCATCCATCCATCCGCTCACCCATCAATCCACCCACCCATCCATCCATCCACCCATCCATCCATCTACCCACCCATGTATTTCTTCATTTTCTTCTCGCTGATTATATGAGCTATTTCATCCTCTCATTCTTTATTCAAACAGCATCATCCAAGTCAGCAAATCAACACGCAAGTCGTGCTCGACTGAACAGCCCCAAGGGATGGCACGCTAAGGAAGTTACCTCAAAAAATTACATCCAGGTCCGTTTCCATAGCAACGTCAACGTCACTGCCATAGCAACGCAAGGTGATGCAGTTGGTTCATTCGTGACAGCCTATGTATTGTCGTACAGTACGGATGGTGACGTGTGGATGGACATCAAGGAATCCATTAATAGCACTTTCGCTAAGGTAGGATTTGAATTTTGATTGGGGCCTGTTCCAATGACAGGGTTCGTGCTACTCCTTAAACTCCTTGAAAACTCCTTGAATTTAATTCACGTTTTCAAGGGCACTTGAAAAGCTCTTGAATTTTATGATTTTAGCAAAACTCCTTGAAAACTCCTTGAATTTTTGCTTTGATCATTACTTGCATGGTTCTAAAATAGATCTAGTCAGAAAGATTGAAAAATCTGAAAGTCGGTCATGTGCAACCTCCATGTAAAACCTTGGCATAGTTAGCTGAACATACTCCTTGAAAATTCATTTTTGGGTCCTTGAATACTCCTTGAAAACTCCTTGAATTTTAAATGGTTACTTCGGCACGAACCCTGCAATGAGTACTGTCATTGTGAAGCCCCACCGCTGGACTGATCAAAGTCAGGGCAAAGGTACCATTTTTTTTTGAGGAGGGGAAGGCTGAGGCTTCAGAGGGAGGACATGAGTTAAAATTTGGAAATTTTGTGGAGAGTCAAAGCTTTATATTTTGACGAAAGCAGTTTACTTTTTGACTTAAATTAATAGGAGGGTCATGATTGTTTTACTGAGTGAAAGTGGTAGGGCTACAGCAATTTTTAAAAATTATTCTAAGAATCCTTCAGCCCTCCCCC